CTTGGCCCTCATATTTTGTTATATTGTCACGCCATCTTGTCATTGTTCTGGCCCTTGGCCTCTTTATGTTATATATAGTTTCGTTAATTCGTGACGCCATCTTGTCATTGGGCTGGCCTTTCGCCTCCTTATGTTATCTATAGCCCAGTCTATTACTTTCTTTGTCCATCTGTTGTCCTGTCTCCAACATATAGGACCTGTCTATTGCCTTTCCTTCTTATTGATGCTCCCAAGTATATCTTCCACTTTTGTCTGTTCTTTGATCCACATCGCCCTCATCCAATCTTTTAGACTAACCTCCAGCATCAACCTTTCTATCCCTTTGGGCATTAATTAGTTTCCCCTCCAGTAATTTGGTTGTAGTCTATGTTTCTGATCCATAGGTCATAACTGCGAGGATGCATTGGTTAAAGTCTTTTCTTTTTAGACATAATGGCAGATTGATTATTAATTGGTGCATTTCATTTGCTGATTCATTGAAGAGAACAATCTCTTCTGTAAATCTTAGATTGTTCAAGTATTTTGATATCCTTTCCGTTCCATTATAGCTTCTTGAATATTTCCTCAAGGTAAGCTGTAAACAGTTTTGGTGAGATGGTATCTCCCTGTCTAACACCCTTTTTAATTGGTATTTTATTTGTTTCCATGTGGAGCTTGATGTATATATATATATATATATATACACACATATACAGGCATATATATATCATATCATCAGCCTGTATCAATCAACTGCACACAGGCAGTCTATTACTGTCATGAGTTGCCAATCTTTTCCATTATTTCTGTCTTGTGTTTTTTGTTTCCAGTCTTGGTCCCAAGTTTCGTTAATTCGTGACGCCATCTTGTCATTGGCTGGCCTTTCGCCTCCTTATGTTATCTATAGCCCAGTCTATTACTTTCTTTGTCCATCTGTCGTACTGTTTCCTATATATATATATATATGACCTGCCCGTTGTCATCTCTGGGCACTCATTAGTTTCCTCTTTGGTATATATATATAAAAAAAAAAAAAAAAAAAAAGAATCTGTCTAAAAATATAGTTTTGAAGCATTTTTTTTACCGAAACATGCGTCGTCTGCTAATTTACACATTAAAATACTGTTCGCAGCGCCATCTCTTGGAATTAGTTATGATGACGTCATGAGTTGTGTTAGTGTCAGTGTTGTTTACTATGGCTATGGCGTGTTCTTCATCTTCATCTTCTTCCAGTGTTGATAGCTTTTCAAGTTCGTCTTTTGACGGTAGTCTGGACTCTATAAACGTTTCCGATAACAGTGAAGATGTATGGCATGTTTGGCAAGATGGTGTTCTGCTTGGTTACTAATTTGAGCCCGAATATTTCAGCCTCCAGAGAACTATTGGTTGGAACTGCGAATGGACAATACTGACTGATAGGTTCTCTTATGTCTCTAACGTTAGTTTAGGAGGGTATTCTGAGGTACTATCCTTATATCACCCTTATAATGAGTCTATACGGCATCTAGGCTCGCCATCGCTCGACATGATGCGAAATGCAGTTTAGCCTACACTGTAAACAAGACGTCCAGTCTATGTACAGGGCATGCAGGGCGCACTGCATGCTTCCAGTGTGACTGGCCATATTAATTAGATATCAGTGTGTCAGGGTCCTGATCCTGTAAAATGTCATCATGCCATGCAAGCTATGGCCATGAAAATGATTGAATTAATACAGCTGGGGTTAGTGGAGGTGATTGGCGATTCCTTTGCAGGATCGTACCGAAGAAAATGGGGCCTAGTCCAATAGGCCTGTGATATGGCTGGCCCTAACTGTTAGCAAATTCCTATGTTAAAATACATCTTAACTATGGTTTTGATTTTTACAGGTGCAAGTGTTATATATGTGAGTTATGTGAAACTCCAGAGGAAAACATGTGTTGCACAGAAAAGATGCCAAAATGATGAGTACAACGACAATTTGGGGGGAAACATTAAGTGCATTACACAGCATCCAGGTTTCATGTCTAACTGTCTGGATGTCTGGGTTCTACAGAATGTTTATGATCATTTCAAAGTGCAACATAAACACAGATTTGAAGGAGAAACCATTGAGTGAGTGTGTTAAATTAAATAATTAAATATATTTTTACAGATACACTATTAATAATATGGATCTCTATCCATATTTGGTGGACAATAGGATATTTGCATACAAAATATCACACGAAAATATCACACAAAAGGTTCTCATCCATACATCCACGGCGATGACAAAGAAAATGAACACAACTCATGACGTCATTCCCGGGTTGGTGGCGCTACTGGTAATATTTGAGTTAAAAGCTATAGCAGACAACATTTTGGGCCCAGAATTTGTTCATTCAAAAGGCTGTAAATATAAAACGCGTTTTTTTTAATTCATTTTTTAAAAATCTTATGCATATTTGGAGGTACAAGAACAAACTCTGAGATGAATATCATAAATTTAATTCACATAGTGGTTACTCTTTAATGTGCTACTGTGCCCAGCCTAAACAAATCAATCAATTGCGATTTGCGAAGTTCTAGCTTCGCCCGAAGGCCCGACCGGCCTAAACTGATAGGCTAGATGTGTTTGTACGAGTTGCCTTAGCTATATATACTTGTCAACTACCTCTAGCGTTTCGGCTTGTACATGTATCTGTTCATATTGAACTTTACTTTTAAACATGATCATTTATTAATTGTTGCAATTCATTTGCCGATTCATTGTAGAGAATAATATCGTCTGCAAATCTTAAATTGTTTAGGTATTCGTCTCCTGTTTTAATACCCTTTCTGTTCCAGACACACACACACACACACACAGGAGATTCAATTTGGGGGCTAGGGGGAGTTTTTAACTTTTTAAACTAAATCAAATGAATATGGGTCCTGTTATAGCCAGAAAATGTCCCTAGACTAGCTCATGTTTTATAACAATCCAGGCTTACCAGTAATGAAGCATTTGTACCTTATTAGGGGTATTGAGACTTGATCAAGTAGCCCCACAAATTCAATTCCCCCGGTTCTCTAACCTCAGGCTCTCATCTAACCACGACTCTGAACACTACTACAACCCCTACTCAATGGCTACTGTTCCCTAGCCAGGTCATTATGCAACCTCCAGAAAACACTCCTCTTTTCACAACATCCTTCACGCCTTCTCCCAAACCTCCACAGTCTTCACTTACTACCCCTTCCTTCCTTACTATTAATCTTCAGCCTCATTGTCCATCTCTTCGCACTAATAACTCACTCACAACCCTTCCCTCTTCTACATGCCACATCCTTTTACTACCTCCACCTCTATTAACCTTTTGAGTATTCTCATTAGCCCAGTCAAATGGGATCGAGTTTTGTGCCCTACTTCATCCCTCCCTCAATACTTGCACCGGAACTGTCTCCATCTCACCTGCACACTACCATGTCTATGTCAAGGATTGATCAGATTGCGAAGGCTTACTTGCCTGCTTCGTTGATTATGAAGCAGTATCAATACAATGCTACATCATCCCCCCTAGAGGCTGCCCTAAGTCCTCCACCAATAATGCCAAGATTACTTTCTGAAGACATGACCTCCTCCATGATATTCTACCATATCATATCATATCATCGTCAGTGTCAGAATTATTGTCCAGGCCACCCTGCTGCTTCACAGCTCGATGCCCTCTGTGTGCCCAAACTGGCCATGATCGATCAAACTCCCCTGCACAATTACGCACATGTGCCAGTTGTGGTGGATCCCATAAGGAATTTTATAGGGGCTGCCCTACCTACAAGTATGAGTCCGAAGTGATAATTCCCATATTCGATATTGGCCTCACTTTACAAGAGGCCAGGCAGGAAGCACGGAGACGAGGCTTTTCTCCTACTTCCTACTCCTGTGCTGTCCTTCGCTCCGCCCCTCCCTTTCCTCTCAAGATGTTTCTACAGCAACTTCTACCCCTCCCTTTCCCAGTCAAATTCGTTTGCTATTCTAAATCCAGTCACTCCAATCTCTGCTTCCCCGGTATCGACCCTTCCCCTTACACACACGCACACACCATGTGCACGCACGCACACAGACTTGTGTGTGTGTGTGTGTGTGTGTGTGTGTGTGTGTGTGTGTGTGTGTGTGTGTGTGTGTGTGTGTGTGTAGTAGTGTATGTGTGTGTGTGTGCATATACACACATATAATTATACATAGTTATATACATATATATGTATGCATACATATATAGATATACACCTAAACACACACACACACACACACACACATATATATATATATATATATATATATATATATATATATATATATATATATACATGTACGTGTGCGTGTGCGTGCGCGTGCGTGTGTGTGACACGGTGTGTGCATATTTTCTTTTTAATATAATCCTCTCTAGTTACACATCTAATTACACACAGACAGACAGACAGACACACACACACACACACACACACACACACACACACACACACACACACACACACACACACACACACACACACACACACACACACACACACACACACACACCACAGTCAGCCAATCTATCTAGATATTTGCCTGTATCTGTGTTTAACTATAAATATAATCACGTGTATTAACCCGCTCGTACAAACCTGATCGAGGCTATGTATATGCATGGTTTCTTTTCCTTCTGCACATGTGTATGTGTGTACAAGCTCCTTGTGCGTCACAGAATAGATGAATGATATTCAGTTCAGTGAGATACATCGATGTCTGCACAGCACAAGCATTTACAAGACCATGTGTGAGGAGGGGGGCGGTGGCAAGCGGCCAAGGACTGTAGGGCGGCAAACCAGATATGGCGGCCAACTGGCAACTCTCACCTCTGAATGGGGCTGGAAACAAACTCAATTTACTGTGAGCAGTACACGCATATTTCAAAGTGTTCACAACAACCAAATACAAAAGGCAGAAACATTTATAGTATAGCACGTTGTGAAAAATAGAAAACAATTGACAACTAGGCAACTGACGGCCAAGCCCTCGGGTGTCGGCGAGGACT